TTCTGACTATTCTTTTTCATTACTTTTACTATACTTTTTTTTTAAGTAGATGCCATTGTATAGTATATTATGAAAATAGCTTGGAGACAAAATAAATTTGAGGTCCTTGTGCAAACTGGGCAAACTAACCATTCCATTCCCATCCTTGACCTCAGACCCTACCTCCTGATGAATCATTAGTAATTAATGTTGGTCAGGCACCTTCAGAGTTTCTGATGGTTTAGAAAGTTGAAAGTGCCTCCTGTAAGAAACAGATAGTTGTTTACAACTTTCTCTATGGCATTTCCCATACATCATATGTATTAAAGATTAAACCAAAGGTCTTAAGTATTTCTGGTTATAGAAAACAGCTTCTGAGTGAGAAGCTGAAACTTTTGCTTCAGAAATACAGATTCTCAGAAATACTTCCTATTTTATGATTTTTCATTGGAACCTGTAACAGCTTAATAACTGGTGACTTATGTGAGACTGAACACAACACTCCATCTGCCCGATCATGCAAGAAAAATTACATGGGGAGTAGAATGGAATGTTCTTTCTGATAGTTAGGCTGGAATATTTAATCCTGGTATGGGACCTTCCCATGACTCAATGTATTAGTTACCTATATGGCACCTTGTATAGCAAAAAACAAACAAAAAACTAGAATACTATTTCTGAAAATGAACCATAATAATTAAAAGGTAGGAAACCACTAATAATGAGAGGTTATACTTGGGGAAACTTTTATTTTCTTTGAAAATATTACTGAAGAGACATCATATCAATCTAAAAAGCAAGCATGCTAGTTAGATAAAGCATCCTGTGAAGAATTCACCCTCAAAAAAGAAGAGATTCTCTCCCTTTTAGGAAACAGAAGCATAGAGTGGTTATTTTGTTGGTTAGTAAATGATCTGGATGAATTCCCTCAGATTCTCCATATCCTTTCCATTATGCTAAAATAATTTTTCTGCTGTAGCCCTAGTCCTTGTGTATTAGTTATGTTTAAATTGCTTTACTTAATTTTATGCCTTTGTAAATGAACTTAGCCCTTTAGGAGTACTGATATAAAGAACCATTTTATTAAGCTATTTGTATATGGTATCTGACTTTCTTAATGCTGTCTATTTATATATTTCCTTCTTCCTTTAGCTTCAAAGGAACATTTTGGCATCTAATCCCAGAGTTACAAGATTCCACATTAATTGGGAAGATAACACAGAAAAGCTGGAAGATGCAGAGAGCAGTAATCCAAATCTACAATCACTTCTTTCAACAGATGCATTACCTTCAGCATCAAAGGGATGGTCCACATCAGAAAACTCACTAAATGTCATGTTAGAATCCCATATGGACTGCATGTGACCACCTGCCATCCCTTTAGTACAAATTAAGCTATAAAAACACACAGAACTATTTCCCTGAAATTCCGTAAGTACATAGTCAAGACACAATGTGAAGAATTTGTTTAAAAACATCCTGTAGAAAGTTTATAAGAAAACCAGTATTTGAGCAAATTGTGGAATATAAATACAACTATTTTTAAGTAATTTTTTTCTCTAATGTGTTATTTTATTTGTTCTGAAACTAATCTGATTAAAACATATATATTATTTTCTTCTCCTCTATATGTAATTAAAGCACTTATAAAGAAAAATATAAATCATTAGACCAGGTTGTAAAGCTGTCTTAGCCTTTTGGACAATAATCTTTGGACCACTATTTTACTGGCCTTCAGAAGAACAAACTTCCGACTTCAACTAAAATGTTTCTTCCTGTGCTAAATAGTTTGGTTTAATGTGAGGGGCAAATTTCCATTCTTTTTTGTCATGTCCTTAAAGAAAGGATTTGAAGTCAACTATATGCTACCACAAACGTTAGGACCTAATTTTCTAGGCCACCTGATTTTCCAGGCCACCATATTAGTGTGGCTACTATTACATGGAATGTTAGACAACATTCAGTTTGGTTTCTAAGATGATAACAAATGTGGTTGTTTAACTTAAGGTCCTTTGGCTATGGTTTTTGTTTCATAACAGTTTAGGACATCAGAATACTCCTTGAATCATAATATATCATTTTTACCCAGTGAATTCAACATGTCAAGAGCAGATACAAACTCGCTAAGTTTAAGAATAGGATATTATAATGACTTAGATCTATTCATGAGATTTATAAAAATACTATGACCTTAACTCTTCAAAACTGACTTGGTAGATCATCTGTTGTTGGCAGCATTTATAAAAGAAAAACAAAAAACAGTGGATTTCAGAAGGTGTATTTAGCTTTATCATAATAGATAAGTCACTATTTTGGAAATATATATATTTTCACACATGTGGTACTCTTCTCCATATTCCTTCACACTCATGCAGGATAAGATTAGGCATGTTTGTGGTTGACATATTTTAGATAGCCTTTCCAGATAAGTTTTTTAAAAGCAATTTTGGAAAGGAATACATTAACTAAGCGGGCCAAAAGGTTCTTTTTCTTTGATGAGAGCTAGGTCCTTCCTCAAAGTTTCTTATGCTTCATTAAATTAAGTGTAGAACATTCTCATTACTCTTGCTGCTAAGCAAGACATTAGCCATATGATGCAGTTATGCAGTGCCTTTATATCTAAAACTTTTATACTGCACTTTTTAAAGCTTTTATTTTGAGGAAGGGTAAAGGGCATTTGTCTGAATATGGATTCTAAGTTGTATATATTTCCTGTCATTCTAAAAAAGAATTTGTGAAGCAAATTTTGCTAAATGTTACTTTGAAATTTAATATACCAGATTATTAAAATACTGTCCACTAACTAGTTTATAGATTTTAAAAATAAAATACATCCAACTGTTAAAACTATATGAAGATTTCACTTTTGTTTAATTGCAATTAAAGGAAAATGTTAAAATATTAAAATGAAAATAAAAGTAAAATTTTCCCACAAAGAGCTCAGTGATTAATATAACAAGAACAAGATATGTGCTTGTTAGAAATAAAGCATATATAAGCCAAATTGCCAAATAAAGCAATTTACTGCTGAGTTTTTATTCTAATTATAATGATTGATTTGTATTGACACCAAGGGTTAGGTTTTTACATCAGTTTGTAAACAGCTAATTTTCACAAAAGGTTAAGACTTAGTTTTTAAATCATCTCTTAAATTTTTATGATATAAGATTTAGAATTCAACTATTAGGAGCTAAGAAGCTATAGCATGGGGTTTTATTTTCCCCATTTAGCTTCATTTATGGACACTATCTGAATTACAGCTAAAATGTTTGGAACAGTTTTTTCTCCTTTTTGATCACAGTAAATGTCATGAAAAGATAAACATGAACCAATTACTTATGCCACAGAAGAGAGAAGCAAGTAGGCTGGAGGGAATGAGGATATCAGTTGAGCTAAGAAAACATTGAGGAAATCTGAGGAGCATGCATGCATTTGTTCATTTATAACCTTAGGCTTCCATGTGGTCTTATCATTTGGTTTTAAGATTTGGGGTTTCTGATTTTACCAAGAAAGTCTATGGCAGCAATTTTCAAAACTTTTTACTGTAATCCCTGATTAAAAAAAAAAAAAGTATGACCCTGCAACACAAGTATTTATGTTAATTTTCATGAAAATGCACCCATATAGTGCATCTTTATTGTGTGCAGTATATTCTGGTATCTTTTATTGTATTTCATTTTTAAAGTGCTGGTTTTGACCCCCTGAACTGACATTTATGACTCTTAGGGGTTGCGATACACAGTTTGAAGAAAGGCTAGTCTGGCCTTTTGAGTAGATGAGACTTAGCAATAACTTTTCTATCATTCTAAAATTTATATTCCCCATACCTGTCTTTTCTCTTATATTTGGATTATGATCTTGACATTAAAAAAAGAGGGAAAAGTGCTAGTGTAGTGAATCAGCAATCATTCACTTGAAAACTGTCCAAATATTCCAAAATAACTAGTAGCCCATCAGATAGCCTGGACTCATTTCTTGGCCCTCCATATAATTAACTTAGGAAACATTCCACATAATTACTTGGCAAACACTTTTGTTTTATACAGAACTCCAGAACACTGGGTCATAAGAATTTTTAAATGCACATAAAGTGTTCTTTATATATTCTTGCCTACTACCCTTCCAGTATGCTGAACCTTGTCTACACCTCTCCATTCACAAATCCCTTATCAATGCTTAATGTACTATTCAGTTAAATTTCAAAATCTGAGAGCCCCTTAGAATGGGCCTTTCCTTATGTAGGACCATTAATGCAGCATTTGTTGCTTTGTGAGAAGTTTTATGGTATAAGTTTCTCATAAGAAATTTCAGCACAGGCTTCCCTTAGTAAGTAGCAAAGAACATTTGTAAAATGGGTGAAACCAAAGGCCTATTACAGACAGAAGTACAGGAGAAATATTTTCCCAATCAAAACAGTGTAAAAAATACAAAACGGCATCAAGACATGTTTTCTAAAAATTTTCCTAAAGTTACTTTATAATCAAATCCTGACATTCTATCTGCAAAGGCTTTTAAATGTACTTGAAGAATCATCACAATGTATGAATGAAGCTCCACAGTGCAATGAAAATATGCTTTCCACATACTAAGACAAATTTTCTACCTAAGAATTTTCAGTAGGAGCTACTGTTGCCGTGAGATCTATAAGCACAAAAATGCCTCAAGCTCTACGCCATCGATATACTTTGGTAAAGTGAGATTTTTTCCCATTTATCTCAACATTCTGTTTACTAGGTCTTCATAAAATGCCAGATGGTGCATGCTTTTTCCACATTAAATAGGATCTTTCAAAACTAAGATGCAAAAAGATATATGGGATAAATTTTAAGAAAATAAGTGAAAGTGGAGCTTTTAATATACTTTCTTAGAGCTACAAAAGTACTACATATTTTCTTCAATTTTTGCCAGTAACTCAAAAATTAGCTTGAAATTTATCCTATGTTAGGTACTTTTTCATCAGAAAAACATTGTGCTAGTGTCTGTAGTAAAGTTAAATTAATTGAAATTGTCATGTAAAATACCTGCACTAGTAGATCCAATTCCTGTGGTGAGCACAGAGCGTGGTGTAATCTTTGCTGCATACTTGAGGAATTGAGATTTCCCTGTGCCAGGATCCCCAACCAATAAAAGATGAGATTCACCTAAAAAAGTTAATAAAGTTTTAAATTTCTATGAAAAGACCTATGAATAAATGTAATTAATCAAGAAGAAAATGGTCTACTTGGAATGCCAACACAATTTATATTTTATGTTTCTGCTATATACTTAAGGTCATTGAAGGACAGACTTAACTAGATATCCTCAGAAAAGTTAACTATCATCATAAATAACAATCTTTAAGTGATTTCTGAATGTGACATTTAAAATCTAAATTAATAAACTTTGTGCTATTTCCAGATGTTCAGGCGTATGTTTAACATTTAAAAACTTTTTGGCTTATAAAGTTTCTGATTTTATTTAATCTATTTTTATTTTATTTTTTTAAAGATTTTTTTTTTTTAAAGATTTTATTTATTTATTTATTTGATAGAGACACAGCGAGAGAGGGAACACAAGCAGGGGGGTGGGAGAGGGAGAAGCAGGCTTCCCGCAGAGCAGGGAGCCCAATGCAGGGCTCTATCCTGGGACCCTGGGATCATGACCTGAGCCGAAGGCAGACACTTAACGACTGAGCGACCCAGGCGCCCCTTTTTTAAAGATTTTGTTTATTTATTTGAGAGAGAGCACAAACGGGGAGGGGTAGAGAGAGAGTGAGAAGCAGGCTCTCTGCTGAGCAGGGAACCCGATCTGGGGCTTGATCCCAGGACCCCGGGATCATGACCTGAGCCGAAGGCAGACGCTTAACTGACTCAGCCACCCAGGCACCCCTTAATCTATTTTTAAATACCAAACTACTTGATTAAATCTTTCCATACAAGCCATACAAATATTTTATTCCATTTTTATTCAAGTATTTTTAAGTGTTCAGTGCTTTATAAGTGCTTTATAAGTATCAAATCACTTATGATTGTAATAGTTAAATGAAGGCCTTTTCATTTTATGAAAATTTTAGTAATTTAATGAAATATCTACCTTAAAGTACTTATTTTCAAATGTAACAAATGAATATATGAGTATCTTGTGGTATGTATTATCTCACTGATCAATTTATTCAGTAATATTCAAGTATTTCCTAAATACGTTAATAGGAAACTCCTACTTAAGCTCAACATTTATGAGAGTGCCTTGCAATTAGTAGGTGATCAAAACATACAATACATATAAACTTTATTATACTTACTATTCTATACCATACCATATGGTTTTTGAAATCTTATTAACAGCCTTGTTTATAACAATGTCCTTTTAGTCTTTGGTTATTATGTCCCTCAGGTGGCCTATATAAGGGCCATAATAAACCTACGCTATGCCAGATTCAGGTCAGTTAAACGTGTTAGCCGCAAAAGAGCTTTCTGCCATTTGAACATAATTATACACTTAGAGTAATCTTCGCTTGAACGTGTGACCTACAGCAGCACCTCATGGCAGATGGCACTTCTGCTACCCACCAGCAGAAGGGGAATCAGCAGGCAGATGACTGAGAGCAGCAGTCTGAGAAAAACACACTAACAGTCACAGATGGAGAGATGCTGACTTGGAGACCTTAAAAAGCACTATTTCTAATCTTTTCCTCTTGAAGACAGACTGGGGATCCAATGAAAAAACATAGTAATCAAAATGTAAAGGTTTGATTTTATGTCACCCTTACAGATTGGGGCAAAAATATATGTTCATCAAAAAACAATATTTCTTTTAGTCTTTGGAATTCTAGAAATTACTTTTTGATACATAGATGCCGGACTAAGTATTAGGCAACTGTCAGCTTTAAAAGATTATGGTTAGAAAATAAAGCTCGACAAGTCATTTTTATTCAGGAAAGAAAAATTCTAGCTTCTCACCTTATATGTATTAACATTTCTCAAGAAGTTTTAAGTAGGTACTAACCTCTGACCCGTGTTCCTGTAGCATCAGTCCTTTGAATCCCACCAGCCAGCACCATGGCCACAGCAAGCTTTACTAGATACATCCCAAAAACTTGAGGGCACAAGCTGGCCAATATTTCATTCCTTCCTAGAAAAGGCATAAAGGTCAGATGTTACCAACAGTTTTCAAGAAATCCTATCTGAAATTTCCCTTCTTATCCTAACTTCCTAGAAATATACTCTGCCATCTAAATTGATCAAGAGGATCATTTCTAAATGCCTAAAAGGAGAAAAGGAGTAAATAACTGTTTTGGTCCTAAAACTCCTTCTCTTATTAATGCCATATAGGAAAAGTCTGCTTTTTATTCCTTGTTTTTTATTTTTATACCTGCTTAAGTTTCCAAAAATTTATCATACAAGGGACAGAATCTTCTTTATTCCCTCATTAAGCCAACATTATCCCTTTAAAATACCACTGCACTTTACTCCACTGTCTAAATAAAATGAAGGTTCCTGATCTAAGTAAGTCAGATTGCAGGAGCCAGTAATCTATAAATACAAGAGGTACTTGTAGTTCATGGAGCTTCTCCACAGGTATAAGAGAAGTAAAATAATCTACTCTGTCAGTTCAGCATTTGCTCTGAACAGTTTGGTAAAGTCTGTTTTACGTAGAATAATGTTACCAGGGTATCAGAGTATTAAAAAGATCAATATAAACTATAATTCTAGCAGTCCAATCTGGAAGTCTTGGATTCTCCTGATGTGTTGTTGTTTTTTAAGATTTTATTTATTTATTTTAGAGAGAGCATGAGCAGGAGGGGTATAGGGAGAGAGAGAATCTCAAGCAGACTCACTGCTGAGCATGGAGCCCAACTTGGGGCTTGATCCCAGGACCCTGAGATCATGACCTGAACCGAAATGAAGAGTCAAGAGGCTTAGCCTGATCATGTGCCTTTTTTTTTTTTTTTTAAGATTTTTTAAATTTATTTGACGGGGTTGGGGGTGGCACAAGCAGGGAGAGCAGCAGGCAGAGGGAGAAGCAGGCTCTGTGCTGAGCAGGGAGCTGGATGCAGGGCTCGATCCCAGGACCCCAGGACCAGGGGATCATGACCTGAGCCGAAGGCAGACGCTTAACCAACTGAGCCACCCAGGCGCCCCAATCATGTGCTTTAAGTAAGAGAGTATCACTGTCTTGAGTTTCTGTTTTCAGAAATGTCAAAACACCAGATCTGAGAATCTGCCTATGCCACATATAAAGTAGGTATTTCATTCGATCACTGGCCTAATTAACCAGCAGGGGCCCTTAGAACCTATGACATCCTAACAAGCCTGTCCTGAGCTTGTCTTAACTTATGTGGAATTCACTACTGTGATGGTACTCTGTCTACATGCTGGCAACTGTTGTGTGTTTCAGGGCTTCCATGTTTGTGCTGTTTCAGAGGTAGTTCTTTTGAGGAGGAAAATAATCGTGTAAATATTTAGCTGATTATTCCAGTTCCAGAAGCTTTTCTGCCAAAGCGTTAAGGGAAAGGAAAGGGGCTTCCTCCAGAATTTATGGCCTTATACACAAAGCCTACTTTTTGTAATGAATCAGAATTGATCCAATGGCAATGTAGGGTGATATGACCTGGGATGGCAGAAATGGTGAAGAAAGAAAATCTTTTAGTAAAATGGGGATCAGAAAAAAGAATTAGTAAATCCTAGAAGGCAGTTCATTAAGTGCCAGAGAGAATCTCTTCCTTTCCTGAAGTAGAAAGCCCAGAGAAAAAAGATGAAGAAGGTTTGGGATCTAAGCAAATAAGACACTATAGCAGGTAGGTAAGTTCTGACCAGACTTACACATACAAAGAAGGACTGACTAGCCCCAACAGGCAGGTTTCGGAGTAGGCAAACTGGCCCGGGAGACTTCATGCCAGCTGTGCTGAATAAAGGTGGACTCACGCCTGATGTGCTTACAGGAAACATAATCCCAGTGGTAAAGAGTGCAGGCTCCGGGGCCAGAGGCCTGGATTCACATCCCAGTGCTATTACTTACTACCCGTCTGAGCTTGGGCAAGTTTCTTAACCTCTCTGCCTCTATTTTCTTATCTGTAAAATGGAAAGATAATGGTATCTTGTAGAACTGTTGAGGATCAAAGGAGTTAATAAATGTATAGCACACAGAACAAATAATACCTGACACACTTAACTGTTAAGCTATTATATTACCTGTATTACTTGTGCTTATTTCTGATCTCAAGATTTCCTCACAATGTAGTTAACACAAAAGATATAAAGCCAGGTCTGAAGTACCAGAGAAAAATAAAGGGGAAGAACCATTCCCTTAAATTTGTCGTCTAAAGTTCCTTGAATCATGACAATAGATGCTCCTATGGCTAGATCATGGAAGAGAATGCATTAGAGTGAATACTCCCCCAACCCTATCTCCCTCCCAAATTTCTGATTCTACCATGTTAATAGTGTGTCTATGGCCTATTAGCCCACTCTTGTGGCATGGCCCTCAGTTACCCCAATGAAGAGGACTTCCTAGATCTAAGATAACTGAGTCATCCCAGAATGGTTTCAGATGGCCCAACAGACCCCAATCCCTACATCTGGGGTTTCTATTCAGCATCTAAGCACCAGGGTCAGAGGATCCCAGACATTACTACAGACTGGAATAAAGTCTTCAGCTTCTAGACAGTACCCACGGTGTCAGATCTTAATGAAGCATATCAACCTCCAAGAGCTGAGGAGGAAGTAATCTCTGGCTTTAGACTAGCAAAATGAAGACATCCCTCTGGATACAGCTCCCCACCTTCACCACCCCTTCCCTTATTTCCCTCACTAGCACACATACACTTTGAATTGGTACAGTACAGTGTACTGGTACTGTGTACTTGGGAAACTAAGAAAGCAGAATCCATTCAGACTAAAAAGAAAAATGTTGCCTCATTTTCTTTTTCTTCTTACTTATGTTTCTTACAAGGTCATTATATTTACTTCTTTGTATCCAGTAAATGAGTTGCACACCCATAACCTTCTAATTAAAACAAAATATACTCTTTAATTGCCAGCACAAAGCACTTCTCATGGTCTGGTTAGGACACTGTACGATGCCCTTCCTTTACTGTTACAGGAAGAGCTGAGCTGTGGCACTGCAATTTATAAGAAATGACTGTGGTCCAAAGAAGAGTTAACAGATTTTTGTGAGGACCTGACCCTAAGAAACAATTTTAAATACAAAAATTCATTTAAAAATATATATGGTTCTTAAAGGGCTTGCTTAATAAAGCCACAATGTAGAGAACTTTAGTTCCTTCTGTACAGATTAAAGAATGATCAGGAACCACTACATATATGTGCTATATGCAGAAGCAAAAAATAAAAATTCATCACACAAAATAAAACTACCTATAGTTAGACAAACAAGAACCTTATTTTGTGAATTGGTATCTGTCCAGTTCAGTATTTTTTTTTAAAAAAAGATTTTTGTTTATTTTAGAGAGAGAGAGAGACACCTCATAAGCGGGAGGGGCACAAGGAGAGGGAGAGAGAATCTCAAGCAGACTCCGTGCTGAGCGCAGAGCCCAATGCAGGACTCGATCTCATGACCCTAAGAACACGACCTGAGCTGAAACCAAGAGTTGGACACTTAAGTGACTGTGCCACCCAGGCACCCCACTTCAGTATTTAAGAATAAAGTAATCAATATGTATGAGACTTGAGATGTTTATTAGAAATAGTCTATCACTGGCTTCAGTTTATTTTTCTCAGAACATGCCTCCAAGGAAGAATGAAAACAGACATTTGAAGATTTAACTGGTGTTTTATACCTTCGGAATTTTTAAATAAAAAATACCCTATGAACCCAAAGGCTATGATGTTTTAGTCTACATATCTTACTGCCACAGTCAAAAGTTTTTGCTGTGATGACGAAGTTTATTTTTTGCATCTTTTTCTCATCTCTTTTGTACTGACTGCATATTTAAAAATCTTTAGCTAAAAGAGTGTGAAGTTGTCTTTATTATCTAAGGTATATCAGAGAAGAAATAAGGGTTTCATAGGATGAGGTTTCATAGTAGGATACATTTTGTCTATTTAAGGAAGAATTATATATTTGATTGGTAAAGAAGGGAGAAAACTGGCAGTACGAGAGATGTCTAAAATAATAGAAATGGAAAATTTCTTGTAATCCAGCCTTGATTTTCCACAAAGATCTCTAAATAGAAAAGACTGTATCAGAAAAGGGCTCTTCAAAAGGAAACTGCAGCTAGAAGTACTGATGAATGCTACCACTTTTTGAATTCAGCCACTGAATTTTGCAGCAGGTAAGGCTCCTCCTAATCACAGACCTCATATTTAACTACTTAATGAAATGCCATTAATAAGTATCAGCTTTATACACTTAATCACAAACCTGCAAAGGGATCGCTCTTATAGGACTCCCAAAAATCTTCAAATTCCTTTTGGACCTCCTCATCCATGATGATCCCTGCAGACTGCTCATTATTTACTTGGACATAATTGGCTTTCAGGACTATCTCCACTTCACAGCGCACATCTTGCTGAAAAGGCTTCCACCGTTGCATTACAACTCCGTAAATAGTGAGGTCATCACCTAGGAGAGAGCACACTGCTTGCTGGGCACAGGCTTGCATGACACAGATCCAGAAACAAGAAACCACTCTCCCACCAGGTTTAGAATGGTAAACACTCATCCAGAAAACAATCTGGAGGCAAAGGAATGCCACAGGTTTCCTACTTTTCCCTTCTGGCTCTTTGTTTGTTTTACAAGCTGCTTGTATCTTTAGCTAAAAGCTAAAGTCAGCGTTTTTATTTTTCTTTATCTGCCACATGATGATCACACCAAATTATTTCCCTTCACTGGAAAAATAGCTTACCAGGTGATTTATTATTATATGGGGTGAAATGTTCATCCTCTCATAATTCCTAACCATACAGTTCTCATTTAAAGAACAGGTGGGAACCACAGCTGGAAGGTTAAGCTGTAATCAATTTGGTGTCAGGAAAGGAGATGATCTTGTGATAACTGACACTAGTTTTAGTTTTTTATATATTAATTTTTATGTATCGCCTTTATTATTTTACTTACTGCCTTAAAAAAAACAGATGAATGAACTAAAAAATAAGTGAATACTGTTTTACTTCAAAGCCCTTTTCCATAAACTATGAAAGCACAAGATAAATCCTGCTTGTTCCTTCTTGGTTGGTTCCTTCCCACCTGAGGAAACTCTCCTATTCCTGGTGATCAGAGTATTAAACTTTTACAGGTTTTCCTAAGAGGCCGTGGGTCACTCACGGGCACATTCTCCAAACACTGACATCTGTGCTTATTATTACATACAATTCATGCATCAATTAACAGGTATATATGAATGAATGGTTGGCATTCAGTATTTTGGTATGAGAGAAAAGGGGAACAGAAGAAGAAAAGATGAGCCTAGTCCTCAAAATCTTGTTGAATATAAGATGTTGGACATACCCCAAATCCAATCTGGTATTTATAATTTGTGCAACAAATAGTGTCTCTGAACTAACTGGCAAGTCTTCATTTCCAAGCCCGTGTCAAATATATGGTATTTGCTGATGCAAAAGCCTTTAACTCTCTAAATTTCAATGTGTAACGTGTAATCTGCTTTCTGAAGAAAGTGTTCTGTAAATGCTAAACGAATGGAACTGGTGATAGCAATTACACGATAGAGAGCCTATTTCTAGCCAAAGGCAACTTCATAATAAATGGTGACAAACACATTCAATAGGTGCTTTGCATGTGTTTTCAAGATCTTTTGAAGCCACTGCTTGCATGGTTTTCAAACAGAATCAAGAATAATGATCATTTACTATATTGTCTGCCCCCAGTTTTTAGATGAAAATGAGTAACTATATGAGCACTTGGAACAGTCCTTTACTTTCATTTTAATGGATTATACTTAGGTTGTTTCTAAATTAGTTGAATAAGAAACTTAACTTTTAGATACAGCACCCACAAATAATTGGACTTCAATAAGCAGTAATAATGTGGAAAATGTAGTGTCCTGAAGAATGGCCAAAAGCCTGATTTTGTCAGATTTGGGTTCAAATCCCAGCTCCACCACTCACTGGTTATGTTCTTGGGCAAATTACCTAACTTTGTTGAGCCTACATTTTGACCTACAAAATGGGAATAGTTATATTTATGTCACAGGACCGCAGTGAAAATTAACTCAGAAAATGTTTGTAAATTACTTCATACAATATCTAGAATATAGTATGTGCTCAACAGCTAAGTATTAGCTATTATACTAAGCCTTGTTATTATACTTAAACTTTCCTGTAGTAAAAGTTATAAACAATGTTATTTTCAGGGAACTACAATTCTTACTTTTATATAATCCTCTTTCTTTGTGCCACTCTGTCTTCTGCAGCCTATTTACCACTGCAGCCACCCCCAGGCGGACCAATCTCTGATCTCCTGCTGCAATGGCAGTTATCAGGACACAACCTCCAACTTTATTACTCTGCATGTGTCAGATTGGGGTTCCCAACCAGACCTGTAAATTCCTGAAGGACAAGGATTATGCCATTTATCTTTTGATTCCCGCAGAGGTTTGTAGCTATGGATCAATGAAAAAAACGCTGTTGATGGACTGCATCCATTATTATTAGTGACGTGTAAAAGAAAAATAGCTTTAGATTTTTTTCAGTGCAGAAAGAATTCAGTTTAGATGGACTGCATGAAAACATCTTATTTTCTATCAAAGGTTCATGTTTGGTGTTCAGGCTAAGCTTTCATGTTCAGGCTAAGCTTACATAAGCACTACTTTGCTGATCCAGATATTACAGGTTTTGGTTAAAATCTAGAGTCCTATATGAAAAAAGTACTTTGACACAGCGTGGTCCACTTATCAGGCAATCCATGATCAAAGTTGTTATTTCCATGGAGAACTGTTTAGACAACTATAAACTGTTAATATATTTGACATAAATTTCAAACTACAGGTTGGTGATTCTTGGGTGGATGGGGGCAGTTTCTTGACAAATTACTCTTGACTCTAGGTACTGAACTCTTATTTCCATAGTTGTTTGCCTCATCGTTTTAATGAAATGGCAGCTCAGGAAATATTTTATAAATGAGGCATTTGGAGAAATCTAGGATTAAAGAAGGAGAGAAACGATGAAATTTGGAGAAATGAAGCACTTTTGATCGTCTGGTAGGGGAGAACAGGCATGTAGAATAAGAGGTCAGATATACCTGTTTCTGCTGGGGGGCACATTTGTGCTATGAGTTTTCTATACAGACTAAGGGTGAGTGAGATTAAGGTTTGAGTGAGAACAGGAAATACTTAAAGTAGGGAATGTGTAGGTGAATTAAGAAACAATTGTTGACACCCAGCTGAAGTTTACCAACCATTTCCATTTTCTGACCCACCTTCAATGTAACTTATATGTTAAAAAGCACATGGAAATTCCTAGGCAAACAGTAAAAGCAACAGTTTTAAAGTTATTTGGAATAAGAAGAGGAAAGAGAATAAGCTCTCATACCTTCTTTACAGACAAAGGTCTGGTCAAGGCCTGGGAATGTGTATAGGGAGCAGATGCTGGCTCTAGGGGCAGGATGCCATCTGCCTTTTCTAGGGCTGCAAACAGTAGCCTCAGAGAAGCTGACAAAAGTTTCGCAGTTTTTAGGATAACTTTTTTAGGGATTGAAATTCTGTAAATCCATAAACTTCTTAAACTTTAGTACCTGTCAGTTCTGGTAAAAGTTTCTGATTAAAACTTTCAGATTAAGGGTGCCTGGGTGGCTCAGTCGTTAAGCATCTGCCTTTGGCTCAGGTCATGATCCTGGGGTCCTGGGATTGAGCCCCACATCGGGCTCCCTGCTCGGCGGGAGGCCTGCTTCTCCCTCTCCCACTCCCCCGGCTTGTGTTCCCTCTCTAGCTCTCTCTCACTGTCAAATAAATAAATAAAATCTTAAAAAACAAAACAACAACAAAAAAAACTTTCAGATTATCCTTTTGAAGGCAGTCCACTTGGTGTCTGAGATCTTTACCTTTAGCTGACCAGTGCCATGTCAGTTTTACAGCCCTAGCTTCTACCAACAACTGAAAAAAGCTCCTTTATTCTCTTATTCTTTCTTTTTGCATTACATATGTAAAATAGCACATTTTAAAAACATACCAAATTTTATTAAGAATATCTCATGATATTTAAATATGGTTACTGCAGAAGAGAGAATAGTATTTACTCTCTTGAGCAACACTACTGATTTACAAAACCTCCTAACATCTTAATTTTTCCAATAAAACTCTTCCCTACCATATTCTTTATAAAAACAATAATTTTAAAATTCAGTGTAGAACATTTCCATTCTATACATGACGGCCGATATTAATCCTTGCCCTTCCACAAATACTTTTTTTTTTAAGATTTCATTTATTTATTTTAGAGAAAGAGGGAGCACAAGCAGAGGGGGTAGGGTGAGGGAGATAAGCTTCGGCAGACTCTGCCCTGAGCACAGAGCCTGATGCGGGGCTCAATCCCACGACCCTGAGATCATGACCTGAGCTGAAACCAAGAGTCAGGTGCTCAACCAACTGAGCCACCCAGGTGTCCCTTTCCACAAACACTTTAATGTTTGATTCTTCCCAGCCTCCCCAGTAAGAATAGAAGGGGCAAGATGAGTTGAGATAGGGCAAAAGAGAGCTTATGAGTGGTCTGATTAGCCTCAAGATTAAAATATAACCAAGATGACATTGCAACAACCCCTTCTGGAGCTCAGATTTCCAGAACAGCTCTGAGGCTCAGAGTTTTTGATTTGCCGAACATCATAGATCATCTAGACCAACTGCCATCATGAGACCTAAGTCACTAACAAGATGCTGTATACCCTATGCTTGATTGTCTCTGAGAAAAGAAACTCACCATCATCTGAGTCCCAGGGTGAACACCTTATATTATTAGATATTGAGTCAAAAATCTACCTTCCTGGAGCTTCAGCCTACTGAAACCCAATAGTATCTTCTGTAACTATAATTCCATTTCTGTATGACAACCTTCCAATTAATGAAAAGTTGGCTGTCATGTCCTTCCTAAGGCTTCTCTATGCTAAGCACCCACAGTTCTTTTCAGTATGGTTTTGAGTTCCTTCCCAATTCAGGCAATTGGCCAATAGAAACACTGAGATCCCTCAGAGGACAAAATCAATGTGACTCCAGCACAGAGGACAGAGGAACAATCACCTCCTTTCTTCTGGACAGCAATAAGAGTATAGTAGCATCTGACAGTCATACTGTCTGATGCATTTTATTTAACTGAACGCTAAATCTGCTGCAATTTTTAAAGTTGCTGCTGTTAAGCAAAGATATACTGAAGAGACAACTGGACGAAAAGTCAGTGGATCTGGGTTTATGTTCTAGTTCTGCCACTTAACTCTCCATGTGACCTTGGGCAAGTCGGGTTCTTCATTTATAAAACAAGTGGCTGGACTGGACTGCTAAGCTATAGCCCAGCTTCTTTCCTGTTATGTATCACCTCCCACCTCCATGCCAGTTTCTATTCTCAAGGCGAACAATTAAGCCTTCACACTCACTTCCCAGTGTTCTTGGGAAAATTAAAAGTGGCTTTTTCCTAATCAGTACTTTAGGACATCTTATATAAGCTAGCAAAAGTTATTGCTCACCAGATTTGCAACTGTCTACTAAGTCATCTTCCAGGATAACCTTCATAGATCGTGGAATACTTCCAACAGATAGCCTTTGCACCTAGCAAGGAAAAGCAGACACATACTGAGTATGCTTAAATACATGCTAAGTATTCAGAAGCCTAGCAGTTCTTGAAATTACTCTATTTCCCTGGTATTATCATACAATTTAATTATGATGGGGATTTATAGAATTTTCTTGAAAATTGTGTCTACTACCCATATACAAACTCACTAAAACCAGAGTAAAATAAAAACACCATTATGGAAAATATCTCCAAATATAATCTACCTTGTGGATGGTCAAAAGGAATACACACTCCAATTATTAAACATAGTAACAGTTACTTACCTAGTTCTTTCCTGACCTCTAGTCCTAAGACCTGGGACAAATCACTGTTCTTTGATTATTCCTTAGTGACAGAACCCTGGTTTTATTCCACGTGGACATGTACCCAGTAAAAAGACTGTATTTCCCAGCTCCCCTGCACCTGGGCATGGTCATATGACTAAGCTCTGGCCAATGAAATACGAGTAGATACACTGTGAGAGACTTCGAGGAAGACTAACTCAAATGGAGAGTTGGGGTTAGACGGCTGATACTGTTGTCTGTCTCTCCCTTTCCCTCCTCCCTGACTAGCATAAGTGACAGAGTTGTAACTACCATCCTGGACTAAGAATAGAGGCCATGTGTTAAGAATGGTATAGAAAAACAGGAGTTTGGGAGTCCTCAACACTGAATATGCCTTTGTGTTTCAGTGGTAAGTAAAGGAAAACCTGGCACACTCTGACATGTTAAAGAGTGTCTATGTATGCCTTATTGGACACAGCAAATAAAATCGGGCCTAACCCCCAAATCCTGACCACTCCAATGTTTAACAATCACTTAAACCCATTTAATTTTCTCCTATCCCTTAAATACAGCTTGTTTGAACTTCTTAAATAGTCACTTAATTTTAACATAATTATTAAGTCATTCCACAACCCTCTGCCAATGCTCTCTATACAGAGATGATTACTGCATGTCTCTAAAAACTGTATTCTGATATATGTGCAACTATACTGTGTGATGACACAAGTTCCATTTGTAGTCCTGTATGTGTTCCCGAGTCCTGGTAATTTGCCCACAGCTGAAAAAAACCTTCAGAGTTGTTATTTTTCTCATTTCTTTGATCATTTACCTGTTCCTGAATTTTGATTTCCTGGTAATCTCTACACCTAGTTGGAGATGAAGACAAGCCTGAGAGGCAAGTGAATTTTGAAGAATCACAACTCTCCAAGCTGGGACAGGAGGATGGCCGGCAGAAGGTATAGTACTGCTCAAAGTCAGCCTTGACCACAAATACATGTTTGCATTTGTTACACATGTAATCTCGCTCAAACTCCAGGATCTTCACCAGACTTGTTCGAATCACTGTCCCAGTGACAGATAAAAAGTGTCCCACATCCTTGGTTTTAGGGATGTGCTCCCTCACCAGCTCAGGACAAACAGGCAAACCTGATGGAGAGAAAAAACAAAAACCACATCAACTTATATCTTGGGATTTGACTCCATGGAATATATTCTTCTCATATTTCTTAGGGAAGAAGGTATTTGAGTTTGCCTAAAATTTGAGTTTCACTTAAGAAAAAGAATCAGATCAACTCAATATAGAAAATAGACAAGGATTATTTTAAATAACAATGATCAGTGTACTCCTTCTAAAAGTATATATCCAGGGGCGCCTGGGTGGCTCAGTCAGTTAAGCATCTGCCTTCAGCTCATGTCATGATCCCACGGTCCTGGAATCGAGCCCTGCCATCAGGCGCTCTGCTCAGTGGGGAGTCTGCTTCTCCCTCTCCCTCTGTGCTCTCTCTCAAACAAATAAAATCGTTAAAAAAATAAAAGAATATATCCAGATGACATAATAACCAGGATTAAAAAAAGGACTGATTTTCATAAGAGGGCTATCACAGTAGACTCTAAATACAGTATGTAATTGTAACCTCATTCAACAAAAAACATACTGCCACAGGCAACACATAAAATCAACTGATGAGGGTGCCTGGGTGGCTCAGTTGGTTAAGCGACTGCCTTCGGCTCAGGTCATGATCCTGGAGTTCCAGGATCGAGTCCCGCATCGGGCTCCCTGCTCAGTGGGGAGTCTGCTTCTCCCTCTGACCCTCCTCCCTCTCGTGCTCTCTATCTCTCATTCTCTCTCTCTCAAATAAATAAAATCTTTAAAAAAAAAAATCAACTGATGACTGAGTAAACCACAAAGCTGAGTGATAAAGGGAGGGCAGCATAATGACCAGAGCCCCACCGTGCTAGAAGGCTATTGCTTTTTTTAGTTAGGTTCAGAATTTATTAATACATAAATCTGTTTCCAAGCCTTGAATTACCTAAAGGTTTACCCACAGTGGCACCATTTTAGCCCTTAAAAAACTTGTGTTTTTCACCATTAATAAACAGGCAACTTTTTAAAAGGTACAAAATGCCAAAGAAAATTCTTTTAAGATTTTATTTATTTATTTGACAGAGAGAGAGAGAGAGACACTGTGCGCACAAGCAGGGGGAGTGGCAGGAAGAGGGAGAGGGAGCAGCAGCCTCCCTGCTGAGCAGAGAGCCCCAATGCGGGCTCGATCCCAGGATCCTGGGATCATGATCTAAGCTGAAGGCAGACTCTTAACTGACTGAGCCACTCAGGCGCCCCTGTGACTTTTAAATAAGCTTAAAATATAAAGATAAAGACAACATAATGTTAAGCAAAACTGACCATATACAATCAAAATCTTAATACTAAAAAAGATGTTAAGAGACTTTTGATAGAAATGTCAATTTATTTCAATCTTTCTGTCTTACTGTACATGTTACTAAGTATGTTCCTCAACTATACTAGTGAAGGGGTGGTGGTGGTGGTATGTGGTGTACATCAGGCACTAAGCCGCAATTACAGCTGAACACAAAAACCTTTATCATTCCCTGATTCATTCAATGATCAAGAACAAAAAGAAATTTTGGAAATAGATTATGAGCTGTCCATATCTATGTCTATGCTAGAGATATGTCCATATCAATTACTTCAGGCCCCTGGTTTTCAGCATGTAGTTCCTGGAAAAGCAGCATCAGCATCACCTAGGATCTGTTAGAAATGCAAATTCTTGGGCCTCATGCCAGTCCTTCTCAATTAGAAACTCTATGGGTGGGGCCTAACAATCAGTGTTTTAAAAGACCTACAGTTGATTCTGATCGACATTAATGTTTGAGAACCACTAGTTTAAGTAACACATGAATGCTATTTTTTCCTTCTCATTTAGTTTGATGCTATCTGTGTATTAGAACCCCTTTCATCAAAGCCACTGGAAATAGCAAGTAAACTTTAGGTTAATAAAAATCCCAGAAGACAAAGAGCAACGTATATCCTGTAAAGATAAACCAGAAAATGTCTTAGGTTCCTAAGAAGACTGAAACACAGAGGCAACCTGTTTTTATAATTGAATGCCTTGCCTGGAGTCCAAGATGAAGCTGCAATACTCCTAAAACCAGACTATTTCCATCCCCACCTTACCTTCTCTTCTTGTAATCTCCAGTGAATCTGCTAGAATTCATTCCCTGTTCTGTGGGCTAATATATCTTGCACCTACCTTGAGTGAGGCATGCATCACTTAAAAGCTGCCACTAAGCTCCATAAACAATTATGTTTAACATGCACATAGGCATGTATCTTTGAGCATACATACACCATTTGGTAAATATTTGACTATACAGCTATATCCCCTACAGCCTTGAGCTTATTTAGATGAGGGACTATACCATATTATTTTGGTTTCTCAAGAGACTAGCAAATGCCTACACTTAATGCGTCTGCAGAATAAATGCACCATGGTAGTAACATAATCTGCAATTTACTTTTTCAGAGAATTAGAAAAAAAAAAAAATAGGCTAAATTTACCTGAAACCAATAGCGTCACCTAGGCAGACAAAATTTTGGTATTTAAACTAAGCATGGAAAAATATCTAAATATAAGGACAGCCTAAAACCATTCCTAAATACCATTTCAGTAACATTAACTAAAGTCCCTTTTAACAATCTTTTTGCAATATTATAAGGAAACATTTGTTTTTGATCCTACCAAGAGATTATCTAGTGTCCTGATGCTTGAAGATTTGTAATATTCATAATTTTATTCTAGATAAAATACTATTTTTTCAATTAAATCAAATGTATGGTCTTTTGGCAGGGGGATCTTAATTTGTCTCCAAAGAGTTCTACTATACTAACTCATCTTTTTGGAATCATAGCAAGCATTTTTGTTGATTATAAATCCCCACCTTTCTGAAATGTACTATAAATATTTATTTCTAAACAAAATGGTACATGTGTTCTCCAACTTAATCTGCAGTAATTCAAAGATACAGCTTTGCCACAAGCTGATTGCTCCACTGCAGCATCTTAAAAAAAAAAATTTTTTTTTAAAGATTTTATTTATTTGAGAGAGAGAGAGAGAAAGAGAACACAAGCGGGGGAGAGGGAGAAGCAGGCTCCCTGCTGAGCAAGGAGCCTGATGCAGGGCTCAATCCCAACACCCTGGAATCATGACCTGAACCGAAGGCAGACGCTTAACCAACTGAGCCACCCAGGCGCCCTGCATCTTAAAAATTAAGATACTTAATCTGTCATTCATTCGACAAAAACTGAGTGCGTAATAGGTGGCCAGCATAATGCTAAACTTGAGATATAAAAATAATAAATTTCCTAAAATAGTTCTGAAGATCACAGGGTGGAAGGTACCACTTTTCTAATTCTTGGTATTATCAATTCTTTTGTTAGTAGTCACAAAAGCTCATTAAGGCTGCTTTGAATTATAATTTTATACACACATATCTATGTGTGTGTATGTGCACACTAATATACTCTTGTCTCCATACATTCTCCTTCTTCTCGGTTGGCATGGCTAGTACCCCAGCCTTCCAAATGTCCAGAGGAAATAGTATAAAATTATTATTATGCTTTAAAAGTGACTATCAACTACACAATAAATGTATTTTTTAAGTATAAATATCAATTATTTCTTAGTGCTCTGAGTTCAATATGTGTTAGAATTTCTCAAAATGTTCCTAGAGAATAAGTGGCAGTAAAATCCTTAAGTGATTCACCTGATATCCTGGCATGAAGATTCTGCTTCATAGAGGCACCCTCAGGTTGAGAAAGGGACTGGAGAATTGTCAAGGCTGATCTTCGCAGAGCGCTATCAAAAACTGTTAGTACTTCACTCGGGAATGCGTTGAAATATTCCCCAATTTCCATGTTAGTCTCAAAAAGGGTCATGGCATTAACCACAACTGGGTAATGAGCATCTTCGTCACTTTCCTTCAAGATTAGAAGAATATCATTCTTATGGTATTCCGAAACATAGGATTCAAACACTTGACCAACCAGTGTAACTTGATCACTGTTCATCTTGAATCTAGGTGATTAAAGAAAAAGACCATATTATACCTTTGATATTGCGACTTAGACACAAGTTAACAAACAAAAAAACTGGTTGTAAATTGTTATGGGCTGCACTATCACTCAAAATATTATCCAAATTAAAATCTTAATAAGATCTGAATTACCTGTTATAGTCACTCAGTAAATGTATTTTTTAAGAAAGTGAAGCTAAACCAAAACCCAAGAATTGTTTGTACTGATCAGTGAAATCCAAAATGGTCCAATGGCTTTCCCGTAACTTTTCCCCAAACTTCCTCCTCATTAATCCTATGATACACTATGAAAAAGGTCCTTCCCTTTTCTTTAACCACATTCCATATACACATTTGCTCTCAGGTATAAAATCTTAAACAACAGTCTTTTGGCTGAAGTTCTTTACATGTGCTCTGGTTCTAGGTTTTATCCATACAAAGAACATACCCTCCTTTCTCTCTTTCACTCTCTCATTACACACACATATTCATGGGTTTTCTGCTACATAAATGGAACATACATGGATAGCCAGTTCTGACTTGAACAGTTAACAGATCTGCTTCAGAAATTTACATTTTGAGGTGAATTTGCTTCTCATTTTCTCTTTCTAACCTAGGAAACCTATTGGCTTCAGCAAAAACAGCTGTCAAGAGTGTAATTAAGTGTAATTAAGCTGAGGAGAGAAAAATTGGCCTTTAAATGATAACTAGGATTGAATATACTATATTACATTACTTCACCTATCTTATTCCCCTGGCAATACTTATATTTTTAATTTGTATCTACAGATTAAAGAGCCTGCCCCCATTCTATTTTCATGTATACAGATATCTATCATACTCATACACTATGTTGGGAAATAAAAAGCACAATAAAAGATCCTCAGTGCCCTCAGAGAAGCAAGGGACAGATCAAAATGAACAGTGCCCTAATAGTGGTAAAAATGCAGTAAGAATGGGAGTACAAAGGAGAGAAGGATTAAATTTAGATGGAGTGACAATCCTAGACATGGCAATGGGCAGTTCCAAATAAACTGTTGAAATCGATCATCTAAGAAACCCTTATTTGGTTTGGTAACAGAGAACTGGAGGACAAATGCACTTTAATTTGACATCTCATTCACCCACCATTTATTGTATCAGGTTCAACAAATAGATGATAGAAGATGACTTATGAAGTTCACATTTCAGCATCCTAACTATGCGTTACACAGGCTATTTATTAGCAGTATTTTGCCTTTTCGGGGAACCTACTATTCTAGAAGGTGTGGAAGGAGTACAGGGTGTATGTGTCATAGGCCAAGAAGTCTCACAATTACAGGATACAAGTGTGAGACTGACAGATGGGTATGTGTATATCCAGGAGAATGAGTGAGAGCAAATTATGGCCATTATATTGATAAGTAATTTGTTTTGATTAGGTAATATAAATTCAGCCAAGTGTAAAGAGTTGCTACAAATGAGTATCTAAGATTCTATAAATGCATATAAAATTTAGAGCCACAAGTTTAGCAATTTAAAAGCTCCACATAGGGCAGAAAGGGGGTAGCTGCAGAATTCATGGTTCAAACTAAAGTCAGATTAAATTCTGCCTAGTCTTTTTTGAAATGGCATTTTAAAAAAATACAGCATCCCCTTTCAAAATCTGCGCAAAACTGCTGAACTGTTTCTAAGCAGTTTGCTACCCCTATAAACATGCCCACCCTTATTGTTCTACAACTTCAAGTTCCCTTCCCTTTTACTTAGAGTGAAGTCAAAATACAACGACGTGCTACTTCATCCTTCGGACCACGTGAAGCGCCCACGAGAGCCAGGCGGGCTAATAAGGGGCGACTTCCAGCTGGACCACCGGGAATCCCCGCCCGCCCAGCGGCCACGCCCCCGCGGCGCCGCGTCCTAAGACCCGCCCCTCTCGCCAGCTGCCCGCGTCTTCCAGGCACCACCTCCCCGTCTGCCAGCTAAGCTCCCCGCGGGCGCTCGGCAAAGGAGGAGTCGGGTTGTACTCAAGGGGCTGCTTTCCACAACTTCTGTCTCTAGACGCAGCCCCTGCCCTACGATATCCCATCAGGACTCTGACACTACCCGGGCTCGGCAACCGGGCAGCGTGGTCGCCCGACCAACCCCGGAGTTGAATAGTTTGGAAACTAACCAGATGTGGGCGAGACTTAGGACGAACTGCAGGAGAAAAAAATAATAGTAACGGTGAAACGAGGCTGCGGCTGTCACTTACTGGCGGATACGCAGTGTCAGAAGTCATCGGGGACACGCTGCTCCCGAGGCCAAGGGGCGCGGAGAGCTCGGGCCTGCCTGCGGGGGCTCCAGGAGGCCGCTGGGGGCGGGGCGGGGCGCTTGCGCCGGCCGCTCGAGGCGTCGCCGGCCGCGGGGGCGCGCAGGCTCCGACGGATCCGCCTCGCGCCTGGGCGAAATAGGCGCTGCGCCGGCTCCTCGGCCGGGCCCGCGCACCCGACAGACGCCGAGCCGCGCACCGCCTCGACTTCGCCGTTCGGGTGGCTCTTCCGGGTGGAGAAGCGGGCGGGCGCGCGCCCCGCCTGGTGCCGCGGGACGCGAGAAGGTGGGGCGGGGCGGGGTGGGAGGTGCTAGGAGGGCCGGGGCAGGCCCCGAGGAGTTCCAGGGCGGGGCCAGGCCGAGCCTCCCGCCCCAGGTGGAAGCAGAAGAGCGGGGTCGTGCGGTGGCTTAAGTGGCCTGTGTGGTTCGCGCTTTTGGTCTAAGAACTCTGGCAAGCACGAAATCGCGAAGATTTTCTGCCGTTTTCTTCTATAAGTTTTAGGATGAAGGTATAGAGTTCCCATATAACCCTCCCCCTCACATACTATATTCCCCACGCACCCACAACCTACACCATTGTCAACATATTCTCACCAGATGGTGCATTTGTTACAATCAGTAATCATACATTGAAACATCACCATCACCCAACGTACATTGTTTACAGGCTTGTTCGCTCTTGGTGTTGTACATTCTATGGGTTTTAACAGATGTAGTATAGTAACATGTATCCACTGTCGTTGAATATACAGAATAGTTTCACTGCTCTCAAAGTCTGTGCTCTCTTCCTCCCTCTCACCTAATCTCTAGCAACAACTAATCTTTTTACTGTCTCCATAGTTTTTCCTTTTCCAGGATGTCATACATAATTGACTTTTAAATAACGCAGGTTTGAACTGTATGGGTACACATACATGGTTTTTTTTTTTTTTACAGTACTGTAAATGTATTTTCTTTTCCTTATGATTTTTTTTTAAGATTTATTTAAGTAATCTCTATACCCCACATGGGGCTCGAACTCATGACACACTCTTCTGACTGAGCCAGCCAGGTGTCCCTCCTTATGATTTTTTAAATAACACTTTCTTTTCTCTAGCTTACTTTAATAATACAGTATATAATATGTATACAAAATATGTATTAATTGTTTATGTTATTGGTAAGGCTTCTTGTCAACAGGCCATTAGTAGTTAACTTTTTGAAGGAGTCAAAAGTTATATGTGGATTTTTAATGTGTGAGGGGGTCAACCCCAACCCCTGTGTTGCTCAAGGGTAACCTGTAGTTGAAATCATACAGTATGTAGCTTTCTCAGGTTGTCTTCTTTCACTAGTAATATATATTTAAGTTTTCTCCATGTCTTTTCATGGCTTGATAGCTCATTTCTTTTTGGTGCTGAATAATAATCCATTATCTGGGTATACCACACTTGATTTGTCCACTTACCTACTAAAGGATATCTTGGTTGCTTCCAAGTTTTACCAGTTGTGAATAAAGCCAGTATATTTATCCATGCACAGGTTTTTGTGTGGGTATAAGTTTTCAGCTCCTTTGGGTAAATACCAAGGATCGTAATTGCTTCTTGAATGAATTATATGGTAAGGGTATGTTTAGTTTTGTAAGGAAACCACCAAAATGTCTTCCAAAGAGATCATACAGCTTTGCATTCCTGACAGCAATGAATGAGAGTTCTTGTTGCTCCACGTCCCCTTCAGCATTTGATGTTGTCAGTATTTTGGATTTTGGCCACTCTTAATAGGTCTGTAGTGATACCTCATTGTTATGTTAATTTGCAGTTCCCTGATAACCTATGGTGGTGAACATCTTTTCATATGTTTACTTTTCATCTGTATATCTTCTTTGGTGAGGTGGCCAGATCTTTTATCTTTAAATCATGTTGTTTTCTTATTGTCTAGTTTTAAAAGTCCTTTATCAGAAATGTCTTGTGAATACTTCCAGTCTGTGGCTTATCTTCTCTTTCTTTTAGCATTGTCTCTCACTCAACAGATTTTTAGTTTTAATTATATCCAGCTTATTAATTGTTTTTTTCACGGATTGTGCTTTTGGTGTTGTATCTGAAAAGTTATCACCATTCCCAAAGTCATCTAGGTTTTCTCCTATGTTTTAGGGCGTTTATAGTTTTGTGTTTTACACTTAAGTCTGTGATCTACTCTGAGTTAATTTTTGTGAAGGGTGTTAAGATCTATGTCTAGATTGCGTATGCACACACGCATATGCACATATATGGATGTCCAAATGGTCCAGCACTATTTGTTGAAAAGACTATTTTGTTCCATTTGTCAAAGATCTGTATTGCCTTTGATCCCTTGTCAAAGATCAGTTATATTTATGTGGTCTATTTGTGGGCTATTCTGTTCCATTAATCTACTAGTCTGTTCTTTCACTAATACCACACTGTCTTGATTACTGTACTTTTACAGTGAGTCTTGAAGTCAGATAGTGTCAGTCCTCCAAATTTATTCTCCTTCAGTATTGAGTTGGCTATTCTCGGTCTCTTGCTTCTCCGTATAGACTTTAGAATCCTTTTGTCAACATCCATAAAATAACTTGCTGGGATTTTGATTGGGATGGGATGAAACTATAGATCAAGTGGGATGGGATGAAACTATAGATCAAGTGGGAAGAACTAATGTTTTGACAATATTGAGTCTTCCTATCTATGAATATGGCGTATCTATCTCTCCACTAAT